CCCCCCCCCCCAGTAAATTTCATTTTGATGGCAGGAAAAAATGTTTTTACTTTTTCTCATTTGGGAGTAAAAGTGGGGAGCGTGAATATTTGACCAAGAAGGCATTTTTGTATGAAAAATCTCTCCAGGTAAAATAATTTCAGCCAAAACTAGCCATTCTAAAATTTGTTTTTAGGCAAACCATTTAAGTTATCTGCTAAGATAGTCTTCGTGTATCTTCAGTGGATTTATTTTTCTTTCACAAAGCTGTAAGTAAGCACAGCTGTGGAAGTTTTCTTTTGGAATGGATAACAAACAAGTTTACATATTTTGCCAAATTAAAATTGTTTTCATTTCAACTTCTCTCGTAGGCCAGTGAATCGGGCAGCGTGGATGAGTTACAGAGTCAGCTTTTGGAATGGCAGGAGATTGTACCAGAATCAGAGGAAGCACGTGACCAAGTCAGAGAAGAGAAATCTGCCATAGCTCTCAGAATGGCACAGATTGAAGAGGAGAGAGAAGGTGAATTAATATATTTAAGAATCTAGGTCAGTTATGTCAACCTAGGAAGTATGGCCAATTTGCTCTGTCTGCTGCATTTCAAACAAAATTGATGTCTTTCTGTCATGTCTCTTTCTTCTGTAGTCATGTAAGATTTATAGAAGTAGAGAAGTTAGCGGAGTCCAATTGTTATTCACAATTTGTATTTTGGTTTCTTTCTTTAAATCAGTCTGCTTCATGCATTTATCCTTCATCCTTTTTATTGGTAGTGTTCTATTCTGTTGTTTTTTTGCCATTTGCGCTGCTTATCTTCAAGATCATTAATTAGATTTCTTTCAAAAGCATATCTGAAGTTGAATGATCAATGATAAAAATAATTATTCAGCATGTTGGCTGCTTTCCTTGAGCTAGAGAAGGTGTGAGGAGCTATTGGATTGGTTTTGGTGATGAGATAGAAAGTGTTGCTTTGAGAAAAACAAACCTGAGATTTAAATGTCATTAACCAGAAAGCTATTTAAAGACTTGTGAAATAAGCTGATAAATGTGCCACTGGTACAGAGCAGGTGAACTGGCAGTGATTTGAAACTTAGATTAGAACTTCAGATAATATATTAGAATCTCAGGTAATCTGAGATTTTATGCAGAATCCTAAATTTGTAGTTCAGTCATTTCCAATTGGTACTGTTTAGAAAAATGAGTCTCAATTGTTAAAAATAATTTTCCAGTTGAGTGTCAGTTATCTGCTGCATATTATCTTATTTTACCTACTTTCCCCTTTGAACCTGCATGTGGCTTATAGGCACAAAGACAAATGTATACCACGTACAGGTAAAATTAGCTCAGGCAATTAATTTTCACAGCCTTTTGGTCTTCTGGAGATTTTAATTTTTTGGGGACTCGATTGTTTAAAGTTCATTCTATAAGTACCTAGATGCTTAAAAGAGTCCTTCTTTTCTTTGTGAAGGATTGATACCTGTAACCCTCTGGGCCTTGAAAAAAGAATAACCCCCTTAATTTCGAGTAGCTTTTATTTCACCTGTGTTATCTATAGATCCATATGCAGTAATACTAACAGTTGTAAACCTTCTTTGTTGTCCAGCCAGTTTTTAATTTTGCATTTTTTCCCTTGGGATAAGCATGACCTTTTGTTTCTTTTTTTCTCCCTGCCGTTACACCTGATGAGCATTCAGCGTCCCTTCCCCCTCCACTCCTGCCCTACACTGTGATTTGATCAGCCACTGAGAACTTGGTTTCCCATCAGTTTTGTGCATGCAGGTTGCTGCAGCCATATTGGCTTGTAATGTACTGTTACTGTTTTCCTCCATGGTGGTTTCTTGGGAGGAAATCACCAGCAGTACATTTTCAGAGCTGCTTTTGGCAATATGTGGGTTTTTTTTGTAATACATGTAACAAATGCTGATTTTTAACTTGATTTTTTCCCTTTGCAATATCTGTTTCTTCATTTATATTAACAGAATCATCTTTCTTCATTCTTTGTATTTCCAGATGACTCCATATTTGTTTTGTAAACTTATTTTGAGGAAGGCTGTACAACTTGCAATTAGTTATAATGTGCAAAGCTAAGAACCAAATTCTGCCCTTCAAATTTTTTTTTCTTTTTTTAAGAATACTTAAAAAATTTCTAAAGGGACTAGGTTGGTTTCAGTGGAAAAAAATAAACATTCTCATCACCAAAAGACAGAACTTGGCATAAACATTTACTGAATAAGGGTGTATATAGTATAGCCTCATGAATCCAGCATGCTTGGGATCAAGCACCTGCCAGAAATGTGAAAATTCTAGGTTTTTGAAACTGGAGCAGCACCTGGTCCAGGGAGAAGGGGGGGAGCAGCGACTAGTCCTGGAGCAGTGGTCACATGCAGAGCAGCAGCACGGGGTGGTGGGTGGTGGTGGCAGCCGCCGCATGCAAGCTTCTTCCTCCATTGCTCTGGAACTGGCCACTGCTGCTCCCCAGTGGAGTGTAGTTTTAAAAAGTGCCGGATTTTCGATAATTCTGGATTTTTGGTATCTGGATTTATGAGGTTATACTGTATTTAAGTAGTAGCTGTCTTTAAATATATCACTGCATTAGTAACAACATTCATAAACTGGTGAAAATGAAGGTTTTCACTGACAGTTGCCATTTTATACTCTAGTCCTGCAGTTAGATGCATTAGCATGCATCTGTGACCCTAAATGGATTGCAGGACTGTATAAGTATAGCCACACTACTGAATACATTTGTGGTCCATTATGCTACTTGCTTTCAATATACTACTTCCCTGTGAGCACTTAATGCAAGCAACTACATTAACAGAATTAGCTGTATGTTAAAGACAGTGTCTAAGAGGAAAGCAGTGCTGGAGTGTGTTGATTTTTTTTCTGTCAGAAATAACTGAAAATCAGAATGTGTCCAAATTACAAAATGACCCTATACATTTAGAAAAAAAATGTTGATTGGTAACCATCTTTAAAATAAGTTGTTACATTTCTAGTAATTTTAGTCAATACAATTATAGAACTTGCCTGTAGAAGTCTTCTATTTCAGTGTGCTCTAATGGAGAGAGTTGTTTCCCCATTAGTATTATCACTTATAAAAGAATAAGATATTTTACTCCTTTTTGTTGTCAAATTATTGACCTAAGGGTTTCTTGTTGTATTATTTCTTATTGTGTTTCTTACTGTATTTAAAAGGAAACTGTAAAATTGTAGTTTTAAAAAATTTAGACTTCTTAAAGGAAGAAAATCAAGACCATATTTTCATCTATCCTAAATAGCCTCTCCCATTTGACAACTTCTGGAGGAAAGTGTATCTCAGTGTCAGGAATAGGGCTGTCAACCTAAGAATTTGTTTAGTGACAGTCTGCAAGCTTTTTCCTGATGGTTAATACTTTTTTATTGATGCATGATATTACAGATGTTTGTTATACAAAATATAAATGCAACTCTTCTGCCATGTCCTACCCTGCTGCCAGTTAGAAGGTCTGGGATTAAATTTATAGGTTTAATATTAACCATAGGAAAAAAGTGAAAAAACAAAACACAAAAAAAGCTTGGAGGTCAGTAAATAGTTGCTAGGAAAAAAATTTCTTGGGTTGGTAACCCTGCTTGACTGCAGCAATGGCTTTAGGCTGTGTGGCCCCCTATTCATCCCCACACTCTGCCCCTAACTGCACCCTGTACCGTGCTGGCCTTTCAGCCCACTCCCTGCTTTACCTTTTCCAGCACTACTCCCTCCCTTCAAGCCCAGATGCTCAAAGAAGCACATCTTTGACCCAGCAGTATTACAGGCAGCCTGGGATGCAGCAGCAGCACATGGCTGAGAGAGTGCTTTCTGCAGGGTGCAAGACTTGGTGGTGGCTCTGCTGTGCTCTGTCTCTTAGACCTTCATTAAGCTGCAGCTGCTTAAGTGTTTTTTACTGATGGCTAAAGTTTTTTTTTTTTTCTAAT